CTATCAGACTAACATTTGGGATTCTATTGGCAAAGATACTGGAGGGGTTTGCCATTTCCTTCTCCAGCTCATTTTACAGATGAGGAAACTGAGGCAAACAGGGTGAAGTGACTCGCCCAGGGTCACATGGATACTAAGTTTCTGAGGCCAGATTTGAACTCAGAAAGTCTCATCTTCCTGACTCCAGACATGGCACCCTATCCACTGTGCCACCTAGCTGCCCCATGTACAGAGTAGATGATGGTTACCCTAAAGGAGAAGGCTTTTGCAGCTGGGGGAATTAGGAAAAGATATGCTGTAGAAGGTGAGATTTGAGCTGAACTTTGAAGAAGTAAGAGGTAGAAATGATAGGGGCAAAACATTCCAGGCATGAAGGACAGCCAGTTTAAAGGGATAGGGACAGGAGATGGAGTGTCATTTTGAGAAACTACAGGTAGGTCAAAATGCCTGGATTGTAGAGTGTATAGAAGAGAGAGTAAGGTGTAAGAAGGCTGGAAATGTAGGAAGGAGCCAGGTTATAAAAAGCCTTAAATAACAGGCCTTATTGTGCTGTTTATTTGTTGTTTAAACTGTTTTGGAATTTTACTGGGTCATGTTGACACAATCTTTGCAGCAACTTGTGGTATGTTTCTCTTTTTCTTTGTAGAGGCATGTTGATAGCAAATAAATTCTTTAATAAAAGGTATCATACAACTTCAGAATTCTGGAATCACTGTACAAATGCTGTAATAGAGAATGATTTTTTTTTTTTAGGATGAATAGAATGAATATTTTTGCCATCCACAATTTCCTTTGTCGCTCTCCGTCATACCACAAACTTCATATCTCTGTAGTGACTTACTCCAAACCCAAACCCTTCTTCCCAAAGCAGCTGCTTTTAGGCAAGTAAGGGCCCAACATCTGGAATTTCTAGGACACGGCATGGCTTTGACTAGCTCACACTATGATGACAAACATTCCTGGGACAAGGTTTATGAGGAAGACTTTGTATTCGATCCTGGGGGTGATAGGGCACCGTTGGAGCTCAGTGAGCAGAGAGAGTGGCATGTTTAGACCTACATTTTGTAGAAAATCACCTTGGACAGCTGAGTGGAGAATGGATTGGAATGGGATGAGACTTTTGAGGCAGGAGGTTAGGTTATTATACTAGACTCAGTGAGAGCTGACAAGGGACCTGAACTATGGTTGGTACATGAATGGAGAGAAGAGGACATGTACAGGAGATGTTGGAAAGGTAGAAATGACAAGATTTAACAATGGCTTGTATATGTGGGGTGAGTGAGAGTGAGTAGTCAAAAATGACCCCAAGGCTGTGGGCCTGGGTGCCTGGAGAGAGGATAGTAATGTCTTCCACAGTGATAGAGAAGTTTGGAAGGGGATGATGTTTGAAGGGAAGGGAGGGGAAAAGAATGAATTCTGTTTTATAGAAGCCTACTAGACATGCTTTTTAAATATCCAAAAGATAGTTGGAGATGCATGACTAGCACAGAAAAGAGATTAGGGCAAGAGTATTATATCTGAGAATCATCTGTGTAGAATAATCATTGAACTTGTTGAGCTAATGAAATCACCAAGTGAAATAGTATAAAGGAGGAAAGAGAAGAGGGTCCAGGGCAGGCTGTGAAGAGAGAATATCAAATTTCCCACTTAGTAAGCTTTTAAATTTGACAATGAAAAAACACTACTTGAGTATTTTTAAAGGTTGGGTGGCTAGGTGGCAAAGTGGTTACAGCACCAGGACTAGAGTCAGAAAGACTCATTTTCCTGAGTTCAAATCTGGACTCAGACACTTCCTAGCTATGTGACCTGGGGCAAATCACTTAGCCCTGTTTGCCTTAGTTTCCACATCTGTAAAATGAACTGGAGAAGGAAATGGCAAACCACTCTAGTATCTTTACCAAGAAAACTCCAAATAGGGTCACAAAAAGTTGGACGTGACTTAAAAGCAACTAAACAACAATTTTTAAAGGTATTAGTACTGCTCTTGATAAGAAGACAATATCTTACTCCCAACTTTTCGTTAATAATATGTATGGCTGCTTACAGACACAAAACCTTTTTTGGTTTCTAGGCTCTCAAACATGTAATCTGAGTGGAAAGGATTATTTTCTCAGGCTCTGAATAGGATTGAGATTTTCTCTGCTCAATGATGCTCCAGAGACTCAAAGGTTGAAGTGGGGATTTGTTTCTGGCTGGCATGGTTCCTTCCCATTCATTCCACAAGATACAATGATAGTCATCTACCATCTTTATTTACTTTCACTCAGGTGTTTGTAACTTATAGTGACATATATATTCCAAAGTAATAGTTTGTTCCAAATTAAATGGTCTATTGGAAAGGGTTCTCTAAGATCTTTATTTCTTATCAGTTCAGGCCATCTGACAGACTCTTTTCCTGTCATTCCAAAACATAGCCAACCACAGTCTTATCCTTCCATAAGAAGTTCATTGTGAATAGGAGGGTGAGAGCCTTGTGCAAAGCCATCTTTTTAATAATGAGGTGTTATTCTCATCATAATACCTGAAAGGAAACTGTAGCCAACTCTTCACTATTTGGGATAATTCAGGAAAACTTTGCTGGAGAGTTGGTGAGCAAGAAAATGCTTGTAAATTATTCAATGCATTTATTTGTAAATATTTAATTCATTTAATTTAATACAATAGTAAATATTTAATCCAGTTTTATTTTGTAAAGGTAGAAATCTCCATTTATAAAAATTCTTTCAATAACTAGTCCATAAAGTACAGCTATGACCATGAACCCAACAAAATTATAGTCATACATGTAGAAAGGATGGTTCTCATTGCTCCAAACTGATGCACAAAGTTCCTAAAATTCATTGTCATATCATGAGACTTTGGCAAGGAAAAAGAAATGCTGCTTCTCTCCGTCACTCTCCTGGCTGCCCTGTAGTGGAAAGGTTAATGAAGAGTGAGATAATAAAAATTACTCCAAGAGTAGCCAGAACAGGAGGGAGAAGAAACTAAAAGTCTGCATGGTCTATCTACCACCTCCTGAAAAATCAAGAATTATCTCTTTCTCTTTCTCTCTTTCTCTCTCTCTCTCCCTCCCCCTCCCTCCCTCCCTCCCACCCTCCCTTGCCCTCTCCCTCTCTCCCTCTCTCTCTCTCTCTACCTGTTTCTCCCTCTTCCCTCCCTTCCTCCCTTCTCTCTCTCTCCCTCCTCTTTCCCTCTCCCCCCTCTCTCCTCTCTCCCATCCTTATCTCCACTCTCCTTTTTCCCCTCCTCTCTCCCTTCTTTCCCTCTTTTCTTTCCTCTCCTCTCTCCTCTCTCTATACTGTCTCTTCCCTCCGCTTCCCCTCTCCCTCTATTCCCTCTCTGTTTTGTCAAAAGGAGCACAATTTTATTATTCTTTAAAAATATTAGTTAATAGCGGAAGGGGATAAGAGAAGTGGGGGTGGGTAATAGAAGGGAGAACAGATTGGGTGAAGGGGGAATCAGAATGCAGGCCATCATTGGGTGGGGGGAGGGCAGGGATGGGGAGAAAATTTGGAGCTCAAAATCTTGTGGAAGTGAATGTTGAAAACTAAAAATAAATAAATAAATTGGGGGAAAAAAGTATTAGTTAAGATCTGTAAGTTATGGATATGGGAAAAGGGACAGACTTTAATTTCATAGTCCAGAGACACCAAGATCTTATGTGATATAATGGTGTTTAGATTGATAACACAGTGAAAGAATAAAGAAGTCCTGAAGAGGAGGATAAACTTTGTAAACAATCTAGGCAAGTGGAGCCAATAGGCTTATTATGCAATAAGTAGCATTTGTGACGATGTTTTTTAAGTAAAGCTTAGAGGTGCCACCAATACTGGTGCTTAGGAGCAGTGAACCTTGCTTTAGAAGAGCCAGGGTATTTTTCTTGCTGTGTACTTTGATTTTAGGAAGTGGCAGGAATCAAGACTCCAGACCGTTTTTAAAAGTGCCATGTGGTTGGCTCTGAGTTGAATTAGCTTGGCCTCCCACCAGAAGCACTATGTCTATTCTGTCCTCCACATTGCCTAAGGGAGGCATGAGAGTGGCAACAGTGACTCTTGCTTGGCAATATAATGAGGAGATTGGTCATTTACTTTTCACAGCCCAGCAAGGAGCGATGGCAAGAGCCCTGGACTTGGAATCAGAAGAACTAGGCTTGAGTTCAGCTCCCTTACTTACTTGCTACCTTTGCCAGAAACTTAAAATCACTGAGTCTCAGTTTTCTTCTCTGTAAAATGGGGTTATTAATGTTGATAGTACCCTCTGACAGATTTGTTTGTAAATGAGCTAATGTAAACTCTTAAGTGCTATTTTATAAATGCAGGCTACTATTAGTCCAGCCATTTGTCTGTATGGCTCAAGGGAGGAGAAAAGAAACCAAGTCACTATATTTAGGGCCACACAGTGAGTGGAGAAAAGACCAGAAATAAAATGTGTTAACTATCAATTGAGCATCTGAAGCTGTGAAATTCAATTGTCTTCTTCAGAACGGGCAGAAGACTTTATCTTCATAAACATTGCCAGCATCTTTCAATAAGCCGTGTGCTATTTAAATAGTAAAACCAGTTCAAATTCATGTTTCCTTTAAAAACATATGTGCTATGTAATTAACTTTTAACATTGCATTTTTGGTGCAGGTGTACGTCACTTTATGCAATAAAATAAAGAGATTCCTGAAAAGTTTATTGCAAATCAGGTTGTTTTTAATATACCAAATCCTGTCTTCCCATTCATTCTTTAATTTACCTTCATCTGGCAGTGACTCCTAACACTGTTATGCAGCTTCAAGTTTCTCTGTGTCTTGACCTTCCACTCAGTGCTTAAAAATTCATTTATAATGTGAATTATCACCCTCTAATTCATCTGTTTGTATATGGATTTTCATATGTTGGTTTTCTTAAACCAGACCACACCTGCATTCTCATGGGTGTGGATATTTTACCTAGTAATCCACCCAAATTGGTGTGTTCCTATCATGCTCACATTCCATTCTTGTACCGTACCAGAGTCGGTGTCCAGGACCCATCAGAAGACGATCTCAATGAAACCCGCTGGAGGTATTTCAGGTGACATGATGAGTTTTCTGCATCATAACATTTAACTTGGGGCTTGGCTTTTCCAGTCTTTCTAATGCAAGGTTTCTTTTTTTCACAAAACCCCTCTCGCTTTCTCTTAATGTCTCTCTCTCTCTCCTTTTCTTTCTCATAGTAAAAGCAAAAAGGGTTATGTTAATCCTAATCCACAACTTTGCTTCAAATGAGCTGAATAGATATCATTCCCAGGATTCTCTTTTTTCCCCAACTTGAGTTACCTCATTGTCACACATGGGTCAGACTTAGCTGGTATTTCCTTATGAAACTGAACTCTGCCTTGAGTTCAGGTCACCCTCAGAAATCCAGTTGGTTTTTGAAAAACACAATTTTCTAATGACCAGGCAATAGAATCATTCTTAACTCAGCCAAGAACTGAGCTGAGCTTTCCCATTTCAGTGGGGATTGACTAATACAAAAATGGACTGAATCTTGACTGAACACTAACTTTGTCTTATGGTTTGCATTTATTATTTCTTTGTTGCTTTTTTTCCCTACCTTAGTGAATCTACACATTAAAAACAAAGCAACGAAAAAACCTCTGGCCCTTACCTCCAAACTAACCAAAACTGAGTTACTAAAAGTAATTCTCTCAGAGATCTCTCATATCCCTTCAGTTTATCAGTTTCCATCTGAAGTGTGATTCAACTGTCAGGGCCATAGAATTGGAATAACAGGTTTAATGTTTCCTCTCTTCTTCTTCCTCTTTAATATGTGTGCCTTCTTGCTGTCCTGGCTCTCCTTGCTTACAGAAGAAGCCACCTGCAAAATGTGGCTGATTTTTGGTGTTGCTAAACTACCTTTCCCTCTGGGCAGCCGTGAAGTGGGTGTTATCTGTCTGTCATGGACATGGCTGTCTCTGAAATGGGGTTTTGTGTTTGATCTCTAGGAAGTGTGCAGTGATGACCACAGAGAGTTCATTCAGAATCAACGTAATATTTAAATTGCTTCTGCTGTCAAATAGTTATTTTCATTCCTTCGCTGTTCTGACTTCAGACATCAGCTGGGTTTGGGGAAACCATTGCCTTGGAATCTTTCCATCTTGCAGAAATTCAGTCCTTCAGTCAAATTTATAAATCCAGATACTTAGATTCAGAAAATTTTAAACATGGGAACCTTTAGAGATCATCAAGCCTAAGCCTTCTTCCGTCTGCCCTCAATTTTTTTTTTAATCATAGTGCCAATATTAAGTTTTAGGAAACTAAACTTTGAGGGTCAGCTAGGTGGCACACTGGATAGAGCACCAGCCCTGAAGTCAGGAGAACCTGAGTTCAAATCCGGCCTCAGACCAAACACTTGATACTTACTGGCTGTGTGACCCTCGGCAAGTCACTTAACCCCAATTGCCTTAAAAAAAAAAAAAAAGGAAACAACTTTGGGAACCATCAGCATTCTGGTTGTAGATTTGTATCCTGGGCCATTTATAAAAGCTTTCATATTCATCCTCTACAAAAAGAGGCCCCATGTAGACCTCCACATTTCATTTTTTTTTAAATATGAGACAATTGGGGTTAAGTGACTTGCCCAGAGTCACACAGCTAGTGAGTGTTAATGTGTCTGAGGACGGATTTGAACTAGGTCCTCCTGACTCCAGACTCTGCACCACCTAGCTGCCCCCACATTTCATATTTTTTAAAAAGAGTCATTGAGATCATCCTACATGTCCTCCCAGTAAATGAAAAGTAAAATTTCAATGCAGCATTTTATATGCCCATCATACAATGTGCTTTCTAGATAACCTTTAGGTTCCACCCTGAATTGGTAGGAAAACTGACCTTCAGGACTGTGTTAAAAGGAGTTTACAAATGTCTTGAGGTATTTTGTTCAGGAATGAAATAACTTTTGCCTGATGGATTATTTTTCCAGATGAAATCTGCTTACGTTTTGACCTGTTTTGGATGTTTTTTCTTTTGTCATAAAGGTCCTTTCTATATTCATCTTCTCCCCTAATAGAGACGGGAAAGACCAGCAGTTTGTTTATTCTAGGGGGGAAATGTTCTTTCCTGGTGCTCTGAAGAGATTAACTTTAGTATGTCAGGAGATTTGCTGGAATGTTTCAGAATAATAACACTTAGAGTGTAAAATTTCAGATTATTCTAAATTGCTAGCTAGGGAAAAATCATTATGACAGACAGGGATGCAAGCAAGTAAATGTTTTCTGTGGACAATTCATCTAGAGTTACAGTATTAGCATGTCACAAAATGGAAAATTAGAAAATATGAACATCCAGGAATATTATATAATACTTGGTATTTACTGTTGCCCAGCATCAAAGCAGACACACCAAGGTAAGCACCCTGGCAAATAGCCTTTCCTCCTACTGTGCAAGGATGATTTGATTCAGCCACAGGGGCTGAAATATATTGTCTTCTTGACCTCTCTATCCCTCCAAAATGTTTACCTAAGTAAAACTGGGATAAGTAAACCACAAAGGAACTCTAAAAGGAAAAAGTAAATTGGTAGAGGAGTATATGTGAAAAGGAAGATGGGTAAGTCCTACCTTTTTACTTTGTCTTGGTAGGGTGAGGATGATATGGACTGATGGTATGGATAAGAACTTCAGATCTCTGTTTTGAAACCAGTTGTTAGAACCTTTCCCCTTCCTCTTTGACCCCATTAATACCAAGAACATGGGGTCCCAGGCATTTATCCCAGTATACCTTATTCTAGGGTAACCCAAGGCATCAGGGCTAGAGTAACTACAAGAGATCCCACTGAGCTTGGGGCATCCCTGGTCTAGAGACTGGCCAAAAGCTGAAACTGCTTCTAGAGCCAGCCTGGGCCTAGCAGACTGTGGATGACAAATGTACATGGCTGCTATCAGAAGTTAGCCACACATTCATTCAACAAACAGTTTTTACACATCGATATGTGCCACGCAAGCACAAGATGCTAAGCACAAGAGATGCAAGACAAAACCAAAACAGGTCCTGCCCTCAAGGACTCTAAAATTTAGGTACATAAAATAACGCATGTACAGACAGGCATCATGATATAGTGAACAGGTAGCTGGCCTGGAAGCCAGCAAGTCCTGGGTTCAAGTTCTGCCTCTTACCCTAGCTGTATAACCGAAAACAAGTCACTTAACCTCTCATTGCTCTAGGCTGATCTCAAAGGTCACAAATTGCTGAGAAGGTAACTACATTGGTAGAGGGGGTTTCCTCAGCCAGAAAGTCCCTTAACAGTGAAATCAAAGGTCAAGTCTCTAATTCTGTACACAGAAAATAAAATATAAGAATATATACAAAGTAATTTTAGGGGCATAGAGAATGACACAATGAATGAGATAAGAATGGGCTTCTGAAAGGAGGTGGCACCTGAGCTGAGCTTTGTAGGGATGCTGTGAGGCAGAGGTGAGGAGAGAGGGCGTCCTAGGCAGGAGCCCATGCAAATCAACAGAGACTGGAAATGGCATTCTGTGTACAAGGGTCAGTTAGTCTGGAATAGATTGAGTGAAGGGGAGTGATAAGCAATTAACTTGGAAAAGTAGGCTAGAACCGGGCTCTCCAGGGCTTTAAAAGGCACAGAAAAGAATTCAGATTGGATCCTAGAGGCAAGAAGGAGGCTTCTTAAGCAAGAGAGCAACATGGTTGGACCCATACTTTGTGAATATCAATTTGGCCACTGTGTGTGTCGTGGTGGGGGGATGGGGATGGGAGGAAAAATAAAGACTAAAGAGCAAGAATGGGTAAAGTTTCAGGAAGAGCCAGAGGAAGTATAGACAACTGTGGACTGTGAGCATTTGCAAGGGGCTGGTCATACTAAAATTACGATGAAACATGAGCCAACTAACTAGATTTCCTCCCTCTCCCTTACTCTGAAGTCTTCCGTGGGAGAGAAGAAAATTTTAAGAAAACAAAATGTAAATCAGAGATTAAGCCCCCTTCCAGATCCATGCAGATACAGCCCAGCCTCTTTACACTGTCATGTCTGGGTTTGCCTGGAGTTATGGAATCCTGCAAGTTGTGTTTGATATACAACATTCACTGAGGCGGGAGAAGAGATGGAAGGCATTATGGAAACTTTCAACAACAAAGATTGTTGGATTAAACTGAAATTTCTAACGAACTGAGGAATACTCTTTTATAGTATTTTAGTTAACCTACGTTTTACTGTATTGACTAAGAGGCTTAGTAGGAAGGAAGGAAGGAAGGAAAAGAGGGAGAGAGAGGGCAATGGAAGGAGGAAGGGAGGGAAGGAAAAGAAAGGAAGAAAGGAAAGAAGGGATGGAAGGAGGAAGGGAGGGAAGGAAAAGAAAGAAAGGAAGAAAGGAAAGAAGGGATGGAAGGAGGGAGGGAGGGGAAAAGGAAGAGAGGGAAGGAAGAAGGAAGGGAGACAAGAAGAGTGAGAGAGAGGATGGAAGGAAGAGAGAAGAAGGGAGAGAGGGCAGAAGGAAGGAAAGGAGGGAAACAAGCATTTATTAAGCACCTATTATTTGCTAGGCACTGTGCTCTAAACACTTTATCTAAACATTGTTTCATTGGATCTTCACAACAATCCTGGGAGATAGATGCTATTATTATTCATATTTTACAGTTGCAGAAACTGAGGCAGAAAAAGGTTAAATGACTTTCTAGGGGTCACACAACTAGTAAATGTCTGGGGCTAGATTTGAACTAAGGTCTTCCTGAGAGTTGTATTTGGTGAGATAAGGGTTTTAATCCTGACTCCGCCTCATTCCCCTTGGACAAGTCCCTTAAACTCTCTGGGTCTAAGTTTCCTCATGTAGAGAATATCTTAGGCCCCTTCCAGCTCTCAATCTATGATCCTGTGAGCCTATGAATTATCTCTTTTCAGGACCTCAGTAGAATTTGTAGGTAGGTCCTTGGGTAGAGAGCCAGAGAACATTCGTTTGATTGAGGGTTAGACTAATGCTTAGCTTAGAAGTGATGCTCAAGAAACACACGCCTGACTATATCAATAATTTGTATTGATTGCAGCTGCTTCAAAGATCGACTGGGTTGACTAGCCAGTGTGCCATGTTTTCAGTATGAGTGCAACAGGGTTGTTGAGGGTATGCAGGGCCTAATTTGGCATAGATTTACTCAGTGGGTTTGTCATTCTATTAATCTATGCCCCTTGCCCTGATGTAGTATTTGCATTCGAGACCCATATGGCCTGGGGGTGAGGTCTGGTTTTGCTCTTTCTTGCATGACTAAATCCCACTGAAGTTTCCAGAATTGAATGAAAACAGTAAAGGCTGATTCTTAATATGATTCAGGAGTGGAGTATGGGAAGACATAGTGTTTGTGTGTTTTATTCCTTTTATTAACAGATTAGGGGAATAAATGAAAGGGGGGTTAGTATTGGGCAACTTTTATAGTATTTGTTAATAATTTTTCCCCTCTAGTGCAGGGCTCACTCAAGCAGGGTTTGTTTGTTTTTTGTTTTGTTTTGTTTTGTTTTTCCTACCCATAAGCTTACCATCTTAAGTGGGCTAAAAAAGGAAATTCATTTTATCTTTGCGATCACAGAAACTGCTTGTAAAGGTTGAGGAGTTTGGGAGTTTCCCCTCCGCCTTTCCCCACCCCCACCCCCCCAAAATAAGCCATACAGAATAGAGAGATTGTTACTGGCAAATCTGAACAGCTATGTTCTTGGCTGTACTGCAACTAACAGACATGCCCTTCAGAGCACATAATCTGTCGCTACTATTTCCACAATAGCCTCTCTGTGGTCAGATCAAGACTTGCTTGTTCACCTGGCATTCGGGTGGGCAATTTGAGCAATTCTCTAGGGGTAAGCAGACTCTCTGCTCCTGTGTCCCTGCACCTGGTGCCTAGGAGATAATAAAGTAAATTAATCCAGAGCGCAATGGCTTGTGGCCTCGCAGTGAATGTGAACTGATATTGGCTCCATAACCGTGCCTGTAATAGATTTGAGCAGAGGGTTTTTATCTCTCTAATTTGCATTAAAGGGTTCTAAGTATAGTTTTCATAGACATCAGTGACAGTATGATTGAATGTGCTGCCCTCCCTGAGGTCACTTCTGTACAGCAGGCATTTTTAGATCCCAGTGTAAAACCGTTGGAATTTGGCTGCTGCTTCTCTAGACAGCTCCGTGACTTCTAGATTGGATTGCTACTCATAGAAAGAGCCACCCATGCTCTCCCTCCCCAAAGGCTCAGTCTGAACACATTTGGATAGGGTCTAATCCCTGGCTCTGGGCTGATGTCCAGATACACTGAGCCTCTTTGATAACAAGCTGATAGAAAATTAGCCTCCAAGCACAGCAGGAAAGTTCATCAGATTAAGGCACCTGTAGGATATCCTACAGGTTCAACCATTGTTGTGAAATCTGATGCCTTAGTGGTTTTAATATATAATAACACCTACTTCAGTTCCTCCCCTTTGCCTTCTACATGCTCCTTTTTCAATTTCTTTGGTCACATAAATTCAATTTCAATTTCTTTGGTCACCAGATTAAATTACATTAAATGCCGGCTGGAACTGGCTGGAACTAGGGCAGAAGAGGAAATTTGGGTCTGTGTGTGTACATGGGCTAGTGTTAGAACTTTTGTGTTCTTCTTTCCATGTCCTTCCTTTACACCCTAACTGGCCTGAGTACAAAAGTGTCTGGAATCACACAGGTGGTAGGAATAGTGGAAATATCACTACATGCCTGTGAACCTGTAGCACTCATGCTAACTCAAGGTGCTACATCCTTAGTCTTACCCATGTCAGCTTCCATCCCATCTCTTCCCACTAGAGCAGTGCATTCCCATTTGAAGTTGGGTTTTCCCCCTATTCCCCTTCCCCATTTTTGGTAAGAATTGGAGGGTAGAGAGAAGGACCTTTCACGAGTCACTGTCCCATTTCTGTCCCTTGCTCCTCTCCACTCCCACACTGCCTCGTGCTATCCTTGTCATATTTCTCCTCAAAATGAAGTAAGGTGAAAGGCTTGGGGTAAGTAAGAAAGGTGATAAGCTGGTATTTAAATGTCCTTAGAAATCCTCCCCACTGGGTCTGTGAAATTGATTAAAAAGGGGGAAAAGTATGGTATAATGAAAAGAGTTCTCAACTTGTAATCAAAGGACTTGGGTTTGAATCCTATCTCTGCTCTTTATCAGTTGTATGACCTTGGCCAAGCTACTTGACCTCTTGGTTCCTGATCTATTAAATGAGGGAGTGGAACTACATTGGCCTCCAAGGTCCCTAACAACCCTAAATGTAGATGCTTATGATCCTGTGACTGTCATCATAGTCTCTTTCCAATGATTAGGGAAAGTGGAGTTTATTGTTGTCATTGCTTTAAATGGCACTGATTTTCATTTTTGAGTCATTTCATTGTCATTAAGAAACCTTCGTTCTTGACTTCATAATCTACCAATTGTGCTGGACTTGGCATGCTGGGTAGCTAAGTTCAAATTCATCTTTCCATCTTATGTGTTTTGTGGATATCAGCATATCAGGGCTCCCCTAGGGAGCTTAGACTTGACTCATCATTCTTTGCTGGTCCCAGTATCAGAATGTGGTGGTTCTGAACAGGAAGGGAAAGTTATTGGAGAGGTCAGGGAGACGGCAAAAGCAAAGGTAAACCTTTGAACCAGGAATCAAGTTCTTATACAGGACTCATCTATAGGTTTGCCTTATAAGTATCACAGGAAGCCAGGCAAACACAAATTTGAGTTATTGAATGTCAACAGTTGCCACCTCAGCACGGACGCCACACAAGGAATCTTCTGGCAACAAGACCCCTACGTTCTAGGAAGGGGAATGGTGTGTGCTCTCTCTCTCTCTCTCTCTCTCTCTCTCTCTCTCTCTCTCTCTCTCTCTCTCTCTCTCTCTCTCTCTCCATTTTTTCCCCCAATGACTCTTGCATGAAAACTTTCTTGTCCTTTTAGCTAACTGCTCAGGCTACTTTGGGAAGGTGATTGACATCTTGGTTACATTCAACCTAGGATGCTTGCTACCATCTAAACATATCTTGTGTTTTCTGTTTTTCTACTCATGTTTTTCCCCCTGGCATGGCTACAGAGTTGGAGTTGATCCAGATCAAGACCCACCACCCAGCAATGACAGCTTTCAAGTCTTACAGGGGGTAAGTCAGCAATGATTTTTCTTCCCTCCCTCCTAGGGAGACAACCAGCTGTCAGAAAGTGAGAGGAGAAAAATGGGATGTTCATAGCTGCTCTTTCTCACCTTAGAAGAACTGGTCTACCATTCATTTACCAGCTATACCTGATTTTCTGTGTTGTTTTCCCTCTCTGCCCACTGTGATGTTGAGTATACACTTCCTCAGTGATGAAAGTGGGAGAGAAGAGTGCTTAGAGACTGCCAGAGACTAGCTTCTGGGGACAATGTTTGGGTGGGTCATCTGGCTTAGATTCATAGCTGTGGATTTGTTTCTTGAACCAGATATGTGTATATTGCCAATAAAACTGAGCAGTTGTACTTTCTTTAAATCAGGGGTTCTTATCCAGGGGTCTCTCGGCAGAGGGGAAAAAAGAGTGCTAAACCTGGAGTTAGGAAGATTTTAGTTCAAATCCAGCCTAAGACACTTACTAGCTGTGTGACCCTGGACAAGTCACGTATCCTCACTCTGCCTCATTTTCCTTATCTGTAAAATGGGGATAATAATAACATCTAACTCCTAGCATTTTTGTGAGGATAAAATGTGATTAAGAAAATTGGTAAGGTGTTTTTTAAACCTTAAAGTGCTATATAAGTACTAATTATTATTATCAATTTCTAACTGAAATTTAGCATTTCAGCATTATGTATTTTAAAGAAAAAAACATTATTCTAAGAAAGGATCCCTAGGCTTCACCAGACTTCCAAAAGGAATTCATGAAAAAAAGGCTAAGAATCCCTAATTTAAATACTGCCTCCCCTGGAACCAGTTTTGCATTAAAATTATCCCTGCATTTACCCCTTAAGGCATTCAAAGTATTTCAGATTTCCTAGACATGTTTCAATGTCTCCATCTCATAAATCAGGTTGAACCGGAGAATACAGTGCTCAGGATTTTTTTTTTTTTTAAATCTCTCCTATTGTCTTTTCCAAGTTGAATTGGGTGGGTTTCATTCCCATTGAGATAGTGATGGTGCCCACTGATTCACTAACACAGAAGGTTATGTTGACTCGTAAGTCAGCTCCCGGCCCCCTGCCTAGAAGCATAAAGCAAATATGTGGGGCATTTGTACATAAAGAGAAGCCTTTTCAAGGGGAAGCTTCAGCAATGATTTTCAGTCTGTGTGAATGAATCCTACTCCCTCCCCAACTTTGCACCGCATTTGGAGATTATGCTGAAATGGGTGGCTTGTGCCCCAAAAGAATTGATTTGAGAATGCTTGTTTTCAAAGATTCTTTTGAAAATCTGCCCTTTTGCTCTTTGGCTCTGATTTAGGGCCATAGAAAGGGAGAGAAAAGGCCTGCACCTGGAAGATCATTTAATTGAGGGAAATAGAAGACCCTTAAATTGTCTTCCTGGGAATCTTACAAATAAGAATTCCTTGCAGGGAAGTTTTTTTGCCTTTCTTTGTATCCCTAGTGCTTAACACAATGCCTGGCAATAGTGGGTACTTAATAAATGCTGACCCATCAATTTCCTTGAAAAGAATTTTCATCCCACATTTGGAAAACAGCCACAAAGTCTTGCAAAATCAGAAATTGAAGATCCTTTTGAAGGTCTCCATTTGGGAAAAGATGAAAGTTTTTTCTGAGAAGACAGGTTAAGACCAGCTGAAAAGCTAGGGGCTTTGAGTCACTGTTCTAAAAGCCCTATAGCTGTGAAAACAGCCCAGCCTCTTTGCTACTTTCTAGGGATATCATTATTGAATCCCCCTAATAATAATAATAATATAATTTTAAAATAGAGAAAACTAAATTTGTTTCTTCAGGGTTCATATGACTGAATTCACTGCACAATGCATCCAGTAGGCTTTTAATAAGTATTATTGGCAGAGTGTCACCAGTCTTAAAACTGGAGACATTTGAGAGGATGGTGGATTCTTGATCCTTCATATAATGGAGTAACTTTAACATTAAAGTGAATAGAGCCTATTCTGTCTCTCAGGCACCAGGAGCTCCAGAAACTTTTTTTCATTAGATGAAATTTGAGGTCAGTACTGATTTAAGCACCGGCTGTATGCAGGAAGCATTGCATTGGACGTGGGGTGGGAGCTTCCTACAACCTGTGTTCTGTTCAGCACGTACATATTGAGGCCCTCCTGTGTACAAAGCTTTACTTTGAAACTTTCTCCATTGCTATCCCTGGCTAATCAAGTCATTATTTGTCACCAGTTTCCTACAGTTCAGACTATCATTCTTCGACTTCCACCCTCAATTTCCTACCAACACTGGAATTTGTTGAGGTCAGGCACAGATCAGGGTTAGCAGCCCTAAAAGTCATTAGTTATTTGCATTGTGAAAATTCTTTAAAAAAAATAAATATAAAAGAAAATTCTTCTGAGTTCCTTTTGTAGATATTATGGGGGAGGTATTCCCTGGACCACAGATACCAACCAAAGACCTCTGGTCAACTATGTTATGTGAATGAATCATACTCCCTCCTAAACTTTGCACCGCATTTGGAGATTATGCTGAAATGGGCAACTTGTGTCCCAAAAGAATTGATTTGAGAACGCTTGTTTTCAAAGATTCTGGCACCCAAGGTTGGGGCCCACCTCACAGGCCCACAGCAGAAGCTTAGCTCCACAGGGACAGGTTATATAGGGGTAAAGAGAGAAGCTGTATTTTGGGTCTCCACTCCTTCCCAATCTCTCTTAGAAATGTCACATGCCCCCTTGTAAGAAGAGACTTACCATTGCTTATAATCCATGCTTAATGTTCTAGTTTTTTTAGGTAGTAGTGGACAGCAGTGATCATGGGCATGATTAAAGCCCAGGACCAAATTGACTCCCTGGAGTGAGAGGATCCCTGAGTGCTGTGACCTTGAACATGTAATTAAAATCACAGAATCAAAGACCATGTGGCCTAGCACTTGTAGAGAGCAGGGAAAGTTCAAAATCTCTGCCTCCCATCCGAATAGAAAAGAGCCAATTCTCTTTGTCATGTAGCAACTGAATATGTTCTTCCTGTTTAAAAAAAAATTATATCATGTAGAGGAAAACATTTATCATTTGCTACTTAAAGGGTTTTCCTCTCAAGTTTCAGAAACCCAAGGTTATAAAAAGGGTCACTGCCAGAGAAAAATATTAGCTCATTTGGGAGGAGAAAATGAGCTGTTGGCTGGAATATTTGGCTGCTCACGAGAGAAGCACAGGAATAATGCAGGCAAGATTCGAGCCTCACCTCCCTAGCAGCTCTGACTTTTTTTTTTTTTTTCAAATCTCATTTGCTTTGTTTCCTTGGTCTGGCTTGGGGAGGCCTCTTTGCAACCAAAAGGAAAAGGTCAGCTGGAGCCCAGCTGCCTCTATCATGAGGGTGTTGTCCCCGTCCCAGTAAGGAGTGGATTTTAATGCTTAACACATTTGAGATTTATGCTGGCTGTATCTCCTGACACATCATTCACTTCCTTCCCTAAGTTCCTTTCAGTTTTACTCATTGATGAAACAGTTTGTTTTAGCAGCTAAATGACTAGGCTCTGAAACTTATCTAAGTTGGATCATGTCAGGACTAGTCCCAAGAAGTCAGGTCATGGGTATGTGCTTAGTGAAAGAATCCTTTAGAATATTTGATAGTGAGGTTGACCTTCAAGGCAAAGAAGGTATCTGTCTGCCTATTTTGGCTCTCAACAATATTCCTAATATGCTTTCTCTGAAGTTTTTCCTCCTTCACTGATAGTCTTAAGCCCAGGTCTTCCTTATCTTCAAGAAAGAATCCTATCTCCAAGTTTCCTGAGCCTTAGTAAACATATGTTAAGCATCTACTCCATTCCAAGCACTATGCCCAGGTGAGACAAAGAAAGGCAAAAGACAGTCCCTGCCCTCAAGGAGCTCACAATCTAATAAGGGAGATAACGTGCAAAGAACTATGTGCAAACAAGCTATATAAAGGATAAATAGATAATAATTAACAGGGAAAGCATTTGAATTAAGAGGGATTGTAAAGAGTGAGATCATAGCTGGGACTTGAAGAAAGCTAGAGAAGCCGGAAGGGGGAGATGAAGAGGAAGAGCATCCCAGGCATGGGGGACAGCCAGTGAAAATACTTTTTACCTGGACAGCTATTGAGAATAACTTTTATACCTTTTTTCTCCTCCTTCCCACACCAACTTTGACACGCTGCCCTGTATAGCAGTTGCTGCCCCTATCCTTTGAAGTGGCGCACTTTATCTTTGGGTTTTCTTCTTGTCCCTGATCCTGCTGTATTCTTTATTTTTTTTCCTATGTCTTCTGCCCCCAGACCAGCTCTCATAGCTCTTGTAATTTTCCCCGAATTGATGGTACAATAGCTTCTAAGTAGGGTTCTATTTAAATCTATTCCTGTAAAATACAGGAGCATGATGATCTTTTTAGCTTTTCATCACAAGGTAGTGAATGAGTAATGGTACTCCATTAGAGGCAAATAAGTAATAGAAACTGATTTGGAACCATCTCAAATAATTGGGATGATGGGTCCTGGGTTTTTAGCTGACAGAATAGAAGAAATGAGGTTTAGAAAGCTGAGGATGGAGCCTCAGACACCTCATTTGGGGTGACCTTAAATCAGTGTTAGTTAATATTGCCTCTTCTCCTTCCTCCCCCTCCAATTTTTTTTTTTTAACAAAGAATAGCTCACTGGGAAGGAGAGAGGGGACAGATATATTCAGAAATGAAGGTTGTATTCCAAAACAAAAGATATCAAAGAAATATAAAAAAATTAAAAATATACATGCATCAGGCTGAGCATAGAGTAAGACAAATCTCCATCCCAAAATACACATTTTGTTTTTTGCATCTCAAGCACCAAGCATAGTGCCTATAAAGTAAGACCTTAATAAATGTTTGTTAATTGGTTGATGAGCATCCTATGAAAAAGAGGGGTGAATAATCATTGCCCAACCTTGTGGGGCAAAGATCCTTGAATGCTTTTGTGTCATGGCCTAGATTCCTTTAGCAGTCTGATTAAGCCTGTGAACCCCTTCTCAGAATAAAATTTTTAAAAATTCATCATTGAAAGAAATGTTAAATTTTAGTCAGAGATACATAAAAATAAAAATATCATTTTTTTCTCATCTAAGTTCGCAGAGCCCCTGAACTATCCATGGACCCCTTAGGGAGCCTTAGGAATCTATGGACCCCAAGTTAAGATCTCTTGTTTTAGAGAATCACTACCCTTCATCCCTGAGAGATAGTAATAAACAATATTCATTATATTTATCTTATTGGATATCCTTTATTGAATTAAATTATTGTGAATCAGATCTCTAAGTTAGCAAATAGACAAATCATTTTGTTTGGCATGAAATTTTGTTAAATGAATATAGTACTTCAAATCACATACTTAGCCTGGAAGAGATGAAGATATAACAATGGGGAGCCAAGCTTCTTTGTAATCAGAGAATAGAAGTGCTTTGAACTGAGAATGAGAAGGAAGGACATAACCTACCCACTATTACCCTTGTTTCCTCAATTTTTTCATCCACATTTGTTGTTGTTCAGTCATTTCAGTCGTGTCCAACTCTTTGTGACCTCATTTGGGGTTTTCTTACCAGAGATACTAGAGTGGTTTGCCATTTCCTTCTCCAGCTCATTTTTACAGATGAAGACATTGAGGCAAACAGGGTGAAGTGACTTGCCCAGGGTCACGCAGCTAGGAAATGTCAGATTTGAACTCAGGAAGATGAGTCTTCCTGACTCCAGACCTGGTACTCTATCCACTGGGCCACTTAGCTGCCCTAAGCAATTACCTTACTAGGGCAAACCCATGTCTTTCTATCCTAGCATTCTATCTCTGTTAGTGGCAAAAAAAAAAAAAAAAAAAAGACAAGGGGGATGGTTTGTGATACAGTGTAGCTGATCTCCATCAGTGTCCAGGAATTAGAAATTACCAACACAAAACATTCCTAATATGTATTAACCTAGCATCCAAAACATGGTCTTCGTTCCTCTTGAACTTAACCTGTTCATGTCTTCAGACTAAGCTAGCTTGTGCCTGGCACGTAGTAAGCTCTTACTGTTGCTGTTGCCTTGAAAGATGATAAGTTTAGGGGCAGCTAGGTGGCACAGTGGATAGTGCACCAGCCCTGGAGTCAGGAGGACTTGAGTTCAAATCCAACCTCAGACCCATAATACTTACTAGCTGTATGACTTGAGGCAAGTCACTTAACCCCAATTGCCTCACAAAAAAAAAAGATAAGTTTAGTATTCTTGTATACAGTTCCTTTTTTTTTTAATTCTTCTCAATTTACTTTTAATTTTCAGGGGCTATCTCCTAGTTTTAATACTCAGGGACCCAGTGAACAAGTCTATCAATGCCTTTTCTTTTTATAGTCAGTCAATAACAAGCATTATTAAGTGCTTACTGTATGCCAGGCAATGTGCCGAGCCTGAAAGATATCCAAAAAAGGGGGAAAAAAAGAGCAAAAGTAGTCCTTACCTTCAAGATCATATTCGAATGGAAAAGACAATGTGTAGTCAACTAGGTATGTATAAGATATACAGAGTAAATGGAAGAGAGTCTCAGGAAAACAGTTGAACAGATACCAGCGGAACTGGTAAAGGTCTCCTTGAAAGACTTGTGTCCTTCTCACATGCTGAGGAGTCTTTCCTCATATACAAGCTTTCTTCTTGTGCTTAATCAGTTTAATTGAACCTTTCTGATTTTTCTTTAATGAATGAACATTTATTAAGTGCTTACTGTGTGCCAGGCACTATGCTAAGGGATGGGGATGAAAAAAACAAGAATCTCTGACCTCAAGGAGCTTATATTCTAATGGAGGAGACAAAAGATCCATAAATCGATATGTACAAGATAAATACAGAATAGAGGGAATGTAACTTGAGACACTAAGATATTGGGAGACATTTCTTCAGATGAAAAGAACAGAATTACAATTGGTGTCCTAGTGCAGATGTTCCATGCTTTTACATAAGGGTCAGAGAATGAGTTGTTTTGGTTTTTTGTTTCTAGTATTATACCCCTCCTGACAGTGCCCAGCATTTTTGGCTACAGCAGTACATTGTGTCATTGTCTCTAGGGAATGGCCTAAACCAAGTCCTAGAGCCGAAAGCTGAGGGCCAGTCAACCTATAAGAATAATTTGGATTATTTTCCTCTAGATGGGTGATCTTCTTGCCCATTTTGAAGTTCTTCAAGCTTCTTGCTCACTCATGTAACTCTTTGAGCTTTTTCTACATTCTATTTGCACTGGCTTGGCATTGAATTCCCTGGGTGAGTTTAATGTTATCTGCAAAGGTTACAAAGATTCCACTGGGGACTCGTTGTTCCAGATGTTTCATAAACATGTTAAAAACCAGTCCCTGGGGTACTCTCAGAGTTGATACTGTCCCATTTGGAGAAATGCCTTAAATTTAACTGCACTCTTTACTGACTCTAAACCAGCTCCAGGGAGGTGCAACCCAGGACAAAAGTTGGGTGGTGGCTAGGGGGTGCAGTGGATAGAGTACTGGGCCTGGAGTCAGGAAGACCTGAGTTCAAAATCTACCCTCAGACATTTACTAACTGTGTGACCTTGGGCAGGTCCCCTAACTTCTGTTTGCCTCAATTTCCTCAACAGTAAATAGGAATAATAATAGTACCTAACTCCTAGGGCTGTTGTAAGAATCAAATGAGATGATAATTATAAAGTGTTTAGCACAGTGCCTGGCACATATATAGCTATTTTTATTATCATCATCATCGTTGTTGTTATTGTTAATTTCATTGTTAACAGGAACTCTTAATGAGGAAGCTGTAACAGTGAAGATCCATACATGTGCTGCAACTTATAGTCTCAGAAAGTTCCCCAGGGGGCATTAAGAGGTTAAGTGACTTGCCCAGGAACACACAGCCAGGATGTGTCAGAAGCTGGGCCTGAAACCCAAATCTTCTCAACTCTGAGGCCAGATCTCTATCCACTCTTCCGTGATAACTTTCAGCCAGTTCTGTGTCCATGGCAGAATCATACCCGTGATCCCATGGTGACTCAGACCTTAAAAATAGCCTTTAAAAAAAAATCAGAATGCTATTAGACGCTGTTGGGAAGTCTAGATGTTCCACACACCCATTTATTCTCTCAGCAAACAGGAATAGATCACTGTATTGTTCTAATCAGATCTGTAGTAAAGCTATTCCTGAGGGTCACAACTGCTGAGCATGGCCTTTTTCTCCCATGGAGATTTATAGTACTATCATAGTACAGAAGCATTTTTACCATATTACTGTTTTTCATTCATTACACAAAGCTTTCTGTTCCTGTAGTGATGATGATGATAATTGTTGTTCTCATCCTTCTTTAATTATTCATTTATTCATTCGCTCATTTATTTGTTTGTTTTTGTCACTCAGTCATATCCTATTCTTCATGACTCCATTTGAGGTTTTCTTGGCAACCATACTGGAGTGGTTGCCATTTCCAGCTCATTTTACAGATAAGAAAACTGAGGCAAACAGGGTTAAGTGACTTACCCAGGGTCACACAGCTACTAACTGTCTGAGGAGGGATTTTAATGCAGGTTCTCCTGATTTCAGGGCAGGCACTCTATCCACTGTGCCACCTACTTGCCCCTATCCCTTATACACAGGGCCCTAAGTCATCCCATCTATGAAGTTTGTAGTAAGGCAGCCATGGACACAACTGATGGGCCTCTTCCCACTAACTCTCTGTGGTTCCAGTTACCACTTGTCCATACTCAGTGCCAAGTGTTCTGATTCTGTTTTTAGGCTTTTTTTGCACTGGCATAGTGGGGCGGGGGGGTGGGGTGGGGGTGGGAGAGGAGTCCCTAAACCTTTGTAAATGTCAAGTTTGGGTGGCCATTTAGGAAGCTTTGGTTTGGTTTGGTTTGGTAACTGAGATGCTGGAGAGGAGGTAGAGGAAGTTGAATAGATTTGATGGTGGGACAAAATAGTAAAGAGTTCAACAGTAACTCATCTTGTTCCACCCCACCCTTATCCCCCGTATATGGACCTAATGTGGCTAGCAGGAAAACAAATTCCCATTACAGTACAAAGCTACTCCTTGGGCAGGCTCCGGACAAAGAGAGTTCCTTGTTGTTGCTGATCATCCAGTGAATGGAATTTGTGTAACTGGATCAATAAAGCATTGTTTGAACGAGCCATCTGCTGGGCACAAGAAAATACTTTTGTTCTACAGAATGCTTCTCTGTAACAGCCTCCACACAAGGGGGATTTTACCTGTTCTGTGTGATTCCTGCCTGGTAGAAGCTGACCTCAAGCATTTGCTGGGGAAAAGTTACATTTGAAAACACAAAAGAAAAAGACACAAGAAAGCATGCAAACTACATGCAGTGTGTTTCTGAACATATATGATTGTTTTTTAAGTCTCCTTATTTTCCTAGGTTTGTATTCTTTCTGGGTTTGGTCAAATATTTTGCCCTTCCTAATACAGTAATGTTTATTCTAGATTCTTAAAACTTTGGGGCTAAAGAATACTTGCTTTTTAGCCCTAAACAAAGGGATAAGAGAATTTTTTTTCCTCTTCCATTTGCCCCCTTCTGCTTTGCAGCTAGCTGAACATTCTCTGTTCTTGTTTCCAGGATGGTCCAGATGCTGCAAGAGGAAACCGGACAAAGCAGGAAAGTGCCTGGATATTCAGGCTGTGGTATAGCTTTGACCACAAGTATCCTTTTAAGCAGCATCCCTCTGTGCTTAAGGAGTTGGTGCTCAAATGTTTCTTGCTCCTGGGGCTAATGGCTACTGATTAGTACCCATAGAGATATGTTCTGGATGGAGTCAGTGCCACTCTTGGACAAGGATGATGCTTGCTCAGGCATGAATAAGCATGGTAAGGATAAACTCTAAAGGATGGAATTTGAGTTGGCAGGGACGTCAGAGTTTGTCTAATTTAACCTGTTCCCATCTGAACATAAATAATTATATAACACTCCCATCATAGTGGGGTCACTTAGCCGGTCTTTGAAGGCTGCTGATAGGGAGAACCTGCCACTTCCCAGGTTCCTGTCTTTGCTGCTTTTTTGTCATTTTTTTTTAGTTGTGTCTGACTCTTTGTGACACCCCTCTCCCCCATTTGGGGTTTTCTTGGCAAAGAAACTGAAGGAGTTTGTCATTTCCTTCTCCAGCTCATTTTACAGATGAGGAAACTGAGGCAAATAGAGTTAAGTGACTTGCCCAGGATCACACAACTAATAAGTGTCTGAGGCTGGATTTGAACTCAGGAAGATGAGTCTTCCTGATTCCAAGTCCAGTGCTCTATCCACTGCACCACCTAACTGTCTAGTCTTGGCTGAACCAAGCCAAAAATCTACTTCTCTGCAACTTCTACCCATTATTCCTCATTCTACCTGCTGAGGCCAGGGAGGACAACTATAATACTAGCTCTTTCTTTTCTTTTCCTTTTTAATATTTCATTTTCCCCCAGTTACATGTAAAGAAAGTTTTTTACATTCTTTTTTTTTTAAATTTGAGTTCCAAATTTTCTCTCTTCTTCCTTTACCTCCCTCCTCCCTGAAACAGCAATTTGATAGGTTATAAATATTTAATCCTGTAAAACATATTACATATTAGTCTTGTTGTGAAAGAAGACACAGACTCAAAGGGGAAAAAAACCACGAAAGAAAATACAGAAAGTGAAAAATAGTATGCTTCAATCTGCATTCAGAATCCATCAGTTCTTTCTATGGAGGTGGATGGTATTTTTTATCATGAGTTCTTTGGAATTGTTTTCTATCATTGTATTGCTTAGAAGCTAAGTCATTCACAGTTGATCATCATACAGTATGGCTGTTATTGCATACAATTAAAATACATTTTACTAATAGCTTCCCAAATTCATTTCTGGCCCCAGACACTTACTAGCTATGTAACCCTGGCAAGTCACTTAACCCTGTTTGCCTCAGTTTCCTCATCTGTAAAATGAACTGAAGAAGGAAATGGCAAACCATTCCAGTATTTTTACCAAGAAAACCCCAAATGGGGTCATGAAGAGTCAGACATAACTAAAATAGATAGTCCATAAAACATTACCCGAGAGGACATCAAGATTCAGGTGCCGGCAACTGACATAATTTCTCCCACCTCTCCCCACTCTCTCCTCTCTTTTATGGACACAAACCTTCTCCCCTGCCCCTTCCCCCATTAAAGGGTCAGCCTAGTTTACTTGATTATCAAATGCTAGAAAATGAGAAGAGCAAAGAGGGAGTGAAAATAGGACTTGCCCCGAAGTGGAAGTGAATTCTGACTCTCCCTTGGTTAGGTAAGCTACCCTTGGTACGTAATTAGAAAGCATTCTATAGTTGCCCTTTTAAAAGCGGTAAGGGTGAAAGCCCAGACCTTTTCTGCTCATACCTCACATCTTCCAGTTAGCATCTTAGGATCACTAAGAACATAAATTTGGAGCTGGAAGGGACCTCAGAGGCCATACAGCCCAGCCTCATTATTTTACAGATGAGGAAACTGAGGCCCAGTGAGGTTAATGGACTTGCCCAAGGTCACACAGTAAATGACAAGCAGCATTTGAAACCAGGATCTCATTCATACTCCAGAACCACGTTTCAGATGTTTTATGTTTCCATCCCACTGGATGGGAATTTAAAGAGTTTCTGGTAGATTTTTCCTAGCCTGCATTTTAGGATTCTATTACCCTTTTGGAATTTGATTGGACATGAAACCTGAGATCAAAAGGTTGCATTAAGTCAGAGAAATGCCCCCCCCTTTTTTTGGCAGAACATTTATTTAAAAATAGGTCATTTTGCAAGTTAACTGGAGGATAGTAATTTCTTCTCCTCTTATATGAAATATTGTGTAAGAGAGACAGTGAAATGACATAGTCATTAGGATGTGACAGATGGAAGTGGAATTGAGACAATTTGTCCATTTAGGGGAGAGTCCCTGCTGTCATCGTGTTTGGCAATCTTAACGTATCTGGAGCCAGTTCAGGAGTGGATCCTATTTTAATGGCTTTTTCTTTTTTTTAGTTGCAAATTAAAATAACAGACTTTGCATTCTCTTCATTTCTCAGTGGTATCTTGTATTGACAGATTGCTCAAGTGAGCACTACAAAAGGCCATAGACTTGAGGAGAGAATTTCTTTTAGTTAAGTTGTTCAGTATGATAAATAAGGTATGTGTCTAGCCTCTGCATTTTAAAAGGTGAAACTGAAAAGTTCAGAGGAGAGTGCTCCATGTATGTGTGTCACACACACATATGAACATATACATGTACATATATACATGTACATACACATGTGTGTATATGTATATTTATACAATACACACACATGTGTGTGTATGTATGTATGTATAAATGAAAAGAAGATCCTTCAGGAAAACGAAAAAGGAGGAGCAGCTACGTGGCGCAGTTGATAGGGAACCAGCCCTAGAGTCAGGGGGACCTGAGTTCAAATCCAGCCTCAGACACTTACTAGCTACATGACCCTAGGTAAGTCACTTGACCCCAATTGCCTTGCCAAAAAAAAAAAAGGTTTGGGGCAGCTAGGTGGTGCAGTAGATAGAGCACCAGCCCTGGAGTCAAGAGGACCTGAGTTCAAATGTGGCCTCAGACACTTGACACTAGTTGTGTGACCCTAGGCAAGTCATTTAACCCCAGTTGCCAAAAAAAACAAAAACAAACAAAAAACCCAAAAGGGGGATCTTTATACTCCAAAGAAGAAAAGACTAGGGGCAATCATAAGAGATCTTAAGAAATATGAAAGATTCTGATAAGGACAACTAAGATGTCACTTGCTGTCAAAAAAGTGTTCAGTTTTTTCATGTTTTTTGTTTTCTTTTGTTTGTCTGGACCTATATAGGGAGTACTCTGTGTGGAAACACACTCCACTGAGCTCCGTATCAGTGCTTGCCTGTGACCTATAGTCAGAGTTGTTTGGAACTCTGAGAAGTTACTTTTCCCAACATTGTACAGCCAGTATTTGTCAGAGGAAGAACTGGAACCTTGGTTTTCCTGAATGCAAGGCTGATCTTCTTGGCTACACTGCCCCCCAACCCCACCCCCATTCTGCCTTTTCCTCCAGAATATAAAACGAGAGGGAATAGATTTTGGTTGTAACAAGAAAGTTTAGATAAACATTAAGAAGCATTCTTTACTTGTATGTGTGAGTGTAGACTTTCAGGCCTGAATGGGGAGCTCACAGGGCTTTCATCCCTAGTAAGCTTTAAAATGAGAGGAATTGGGTTAAGTTGCCAACATTCTATGATAGCTGTCTGAGTGGGCTTCCAAATAGAATTTATGTTGTAATGCTGCATAGGATAACAGTGCATAGGAGCTAAGTTGCCTTAGGCTCTCTAACTTTTACTACATCTTCACACATCCACTTGCAAGACTGATTTGTCCCCAGATCACACAAGTTGGCAATTGGCAAGAGAACTAGAAATGAGGTGGGATGGCATTGGGGAGAGCATAGTGTCCCTGCTAAAAGGGACCTTAGAGGCCATCTAATCTAAAACTGCCATTTTACAGATAAGAAAATTGAAGCCCAGTGATGGTAAGTGACAATAAAGTCACTGCTTCTAGTGTTCTAATTCCATTCTGTTGCTATATGGCCTGCCTGCAGTTTTGAAGGCTGGGGTGTTGGTTTAAAAGTGAATCCTAACACATCACAACTGGGGAAGGGAGTGCTCTGATGTTTCAGATGCCCTGGTTATCTGAAGGTTCCCACATGTGCTGTGGGTAGAGTGCTGATTTTCAAAAAATTCTGACATAGTAAAAGACAGCTTACTATAACTCTCCTGAAAAGAAGGAAGCACAGACTAGCAAGACAGTTTTGAAAATTACATGTAGAATTTTTTTTAAAAAAGCATGAAATGGAGAGTCATAGTTTCATATAGAAACCTCTTTTTGTGTTCTGTGTCCGTGAAAACGTTTTTGTTTGGTGATTAAACTGAGAATCTGAAAGTTTTTTTTTTAACCCTACTGAAATTAATCCAATCCTTCATTGATTCAGAAAGTATTTAAAATTCATTGTAATGAATGTTAACTACAATACTAGTGGAGTGGGTGAGTAGTAGGTAATAAAGGTTTGGTGTTGATAGAATGCCAGATAAAACAACCTTTACTAGGTTTTGTTTTATGTATGTGTGTCTATTCTCCAGTCTATTTTTTTTTCCTTGATTTTGCTTTTTTAAAGTTACTTGAAGCCTATTCTCACTCACAGTGGACCACCGTTAACTACAACCCTCCCAGCATGGTGTGGCCTGCTAGCTCGATGCCTGACCAGCCCACAGGTATATGAAGTAAGTACAGCACATTGGGGTTAGACATCTGTCCTCAACATCAGGGGAGGGGAAAAAAAACCTGTCATGATTGAGTCCTTAAATACAGTTCGTGTTAATTGCTCTAAAATGCTATGAAGGCCTTTGTAAGCTTGGATTTTTGTCACAAGACCCCTATAACGTCATAGTACTCTCAGCCCCACATTATCACTTCCCTCAACCTCCCTCCTCTTCCCTCTGTTTAAGCAGATTCTAGTTATAATGTGGCAACTAGATGGCACAGTAGATGGAGTGCCAGGCCTGGAGTCAGAAAAGACTCATCTTCCTGAGTTCAAACATGGCCTCAGACACTTCTAGCTGTGTGACCCTGGGCAAGTAACTTAACCCTGTTTGTCTCAGTTTCCTCATCTGTAAATAAGCTTGGAGAAGGAAATGGCAAAGAAAAGGGTATCTTTGCCAAGAAAACCCCAAATGGGGTCATGAAGAGCTGGACGTGACTAAAATGACTGAACATCAATAAAATTATAATGTGCTCTCCAGAGCATCACAACTATATAGCTGGAAGGGACTTTACAGGCTAACCAATCCAACTCCCTCATTTTACAGATAAGGAAAGAGAGACCCAAGGAGATTAAATGACTTGCCCACATCAGAGGCAGAATATAAACCCACATCCTCTAACTCCAGATCTATTATTCTTTCCACTATACCATGCTGTATTTAATAGAGTTCTGCTACATGTCTGTCAAATCTAGAGTTAGCACCATGTCTAGGTGGAGTGTACAGTCACATACATAGTATGATTTCAGTGATATTACAAGAGTTACCTTCTATCCCTTCCCTCCCCGCCCCCCCCCCCAAATTCTCTTCTGATCTCCAGAGTACCAAAACCTCTTTGTATATATTACTGCTTTGGGTTAAGGCATTGGTCCCAGAAGGCCTATATCAAAATGTAGATTGTTTCTGGGGAGTGGTAATATTATCATTCAATCAATCAGGCGTTTAAGTGCTTACTACATCCCAAGTGGCACTCTGGGATTGGAATCAGGAAGACTCATCTTCCTGAGTTCAGAGCTGACCTCAAATACTTACAAGCTGTGTGACCCTGGGCAAGTCACTTCACCCCGTTTGCCTCAGTTTCTTCATCTGTAAAATGAGGTGGAGAAGGAAATGGCAAACCACTCCAGTATCTTTTCCAAGAAAACCCCAAATGGGGTCATAAAAAGTCAGATACAACTGAAAAGTCAACCACAGTGCTAGGTTTGTGTATACAAAGACATGTACATATGTTCTGTATATAGTGTATACTATATGTAGTATATAATATAGATATAAATATATAGTGACGTATATATGGACAAAACAAATATATAAAGTATATAAAACTAAATACAAAGTAATTGGTGAGGAGAGGGATACTGGAAATGGAAGAGATTAGTAAAAAGCTTCCTGTAGGAAGTGGCATTTGAACTAAGTTTTGAAGGAAACCAATGATTTTGAGAAGTGTAAGTGAGGTGAGAGTGCAGTCTTGGCAGCACCGGGGCGGGGGAGGGTGGGGGACAGCTAGGGCCAAGGCAAGGAAGGAAACAGGAAGTGGAGTGTCACAGGTGAAGAACAGCAAGAATGCCAAGTGGACAGGGTTAAAGAGTGTGCAAAAGGGAGTAAGGAGTGTACAATTATCCCTTCCACATTTTGACTTTCCCCATTGAGGTTTCAGTATATTGAGAGTCAGCATGAAAAATTAAATGGGAATTTTGGGGGAGTTTTGTAGAAGCCACAGACATGCAAAGGCCAGTAGAAGAAATGGGAAGTTTAGAAACTCAGAAATGCATAAAATATATATATATATAGTATTGTATAATATCAACATATTTTATCTTTTAATACCATAATAACTCAGATTTCTTCTCTTCTGGTAGGAAGGGAAGGCCAGGATTTTCCAGATCAAGGGGCACCTCACCCCTAATTTCCCCCATGTGGAAGGGATAACTAACTGTACAAAGGGTAGGTTGGGGTCAGGTTATGAAGGGCATTAAATGCCAGAGAGGGGAGTTTGTATTTCATCAGAGAGGTATTAGTAAGCCACTAGAGTTTATGCAGAGCAGTCCCTAGTGCTTTAGGAATAAGTCATTAACATAAATTTAGCATATTAACTAATTGTTCATTAGAAGAGAATAAGTTCCCTAAAGAACATTACTTGCTTGTCCGCTGTGTTCCAGGCAAAGTAGGAGGTGCTGGAGATTCTAAGACAAAGAAGAAAGCCATCCCTGCCCTTAAAAAATGTAGATTGTTCAGGGAGATGCACGTTTATAAATAAGTATAGCAGTAACATTAATAGCAAACCTTTCTATAGCACCTTAAGATATGCAAAGCACTTTACAAATATCTCATTTTACCCTCATGACAACTCTATCAGGTAGGGGCTGTTATTATCATCCCCATTTTACAGATGAGGGAAACCCAGACTGACAAAGGTTAAATTACTTATCCAGGATCACACAGTTCACTTGTGTGAGGCTAGATTTGAACTCACCTCTTCCTGGCTCTGGGTCCAGTGCTCTATCTAGCATAAGGAAAACTGGGTTGGGAGAGGATGCTAACAATTAAAGGAATTAGGGATGCTTCCCGGAGGAGGAGGGTATACCTGAGTTGAGCTTTGAAAGAATTCTGAGAGACTTTCCAAAGAGAAATGGCCATATTTAATATTTCTGTGTAGGGCCACTAGCCCTGTTTCGATTATGAGGAAGGCTGGAGGTGCAGTAGAAAGACGGTTGGATTTGTAGTGAGAGGACCGAGGTTCAAGACGTTATTAACTCTGTGACTTCACTGCTCTGAGCCTGTTTCTTTATCTGTAATATAAGAGAGTTGGATTAGATGACCTTTATGGTCCCTTCCAGCTCTAAGTCTTTTCACCCACATTTCATCCTGCCACGATTTTACTGAGCCTTTCCCATTGGGCATCTTTGCTTGGACCCAATCTGCTAAAAAGGTTACACCTGACATGCCTCTCAATACCCCGCTTAAAGTGCATCATGATGCTGGCTCCATGGTGGTGTCTCCTGTTTCCAGATAATTTTAAAAGCCTCCTTAATGGGTTTCTAAGTGTCAATCCCTGTTTTGGTCACCTCAGCTAATATGCTGATCACCTCCTATAATAGAAGTATGTGACCTTGTGAATTAAAAGGCTAGTTTTGTAATTATATATCCTATTAATGCCCTAGTTAACAATGAATACAAGTTACATTGTTTTGAATTTCCATATGTTTAAGCAGTTTAAAAAAGGTTGCGTAGGCAACCTCAACCAGCCAAATTTGACATTGTATACAGCCCTGGTACTTTCTGTGATCTGAGTAGAGACTGTGATTCAACCTTACCTTTTCTCCATTAATGAAACTCTAACCACTTCAGCATTAAAGTCTCATGTTCCATGCAGTTCAGCAGTGTTTCTCTCCTGATTTGATTTCTCTTTCAAAGAAATCCTGCTGCCTTTTATTTCAATTGGGCTGTATGCATTAATGGTTTGCTAATCATGTTAATTAGCATAATTTAAGAAATCCCAATTGAGAATACTTTAAAAACTCATTAAGATAATATTTCTGTGGATCAAGTTTGAAAATTAACTATTCCCCATCCTGTCCCATCCCTACACATGGCTTGAAGACTTCTATCCTAATTTGTGGAACCACGGCTGGCTTCCTAAGATAATTTAAGTCAATTTCAGAAGTTACAAAAAATCAATTCAACACTTATTCAGCACTTGCTATGTACATTGTACTCTGCCTTACACTGGGGATACAGGAGGTTACAAAGTTGAAAGAGAATCTTCTACCCCGAAGTAGTTTTCTATCCAGTGGAAGATAACTGAAACACACAAGTAACCACAATACATATTATAACATTAGTGTATACTGGGAGCCCCAAATAGAGTGGTTTGAGAAATTAGGAAAGTGAGTGTTGGCTTATAACTGAGGCGGATGAGGGAAGGCTTCATGGAGAACCTGGGTTCAAATCCCAGCAGAGCCATTTACTATTTGTGACCTTGGGAACAAGTCACTTAACCTCTATGAGAACTCAGTTTCTTGATCTGTAAAATGAATGCCTAAGAACAAAAGTATCTCTAGCAGCTCTTTTTGCGCTGGCAAAAAACTGGAAACTAAGGGGGTGCCCATCAGTTGGAGAAAAGATGAATTGCAGTATGAATGTAATGAAATAATATTGTGCTATAACAAAATTACAAAAGGGTCAGTTTCAGGGAAACTTTAGAAGACTTGTGTAAACTGATGCAGAGTAAAATGAGCAGAAAATTACTAGAAATCCACAATTTAAAAGGAAAGGGGAGAGACTACTAATCAAAATTAGCATTTCTTAGTCAAGCACCATGATTCAAGTTATCAGAATCTCCCATATCGGTAGAGGAGTCAGGAGTCCAGGATTCTGATATTATGGGTCTATTTTAGCTCAAACAAAACTCAACGTATATCAGCATGAAGAAAGTCATCCAGTCCTGGAAGAGAGAATAGAAGTTTTGGTTTCAAATAGGGAGTCATCCAGACAATCATCATCCAGATATTAGCATCAAGGGCTAAGAGGTTTCTACTTAGTATCTACATCTTTTCTAATATCTTCAAACTTTTTGGCCAAGTTTGGAATTTTACAGTTTTAAGCCAAATACATCCAGCCACACTGCCAAATGTAAAGCAGAAGATTAATTTATATGATAACAATAACTTTATGAAAACAAAAACAAAAACAACTTTGAAAGACTTAAAAACCCTGATCAGTGTAATGGCCAACCATGATCCCAGATGATATCATTCTACCCACCTCCAGACAAAGAGGTTAAGGATTAACCATTTGGATTAACCATTGACTCAAAACTTCACAGAACAAATCCCCTTAATAAAAGGATTTGTTCTATAAAACTTGGACTCAGTCAAAAGGCTGAACCCAAGGACTTAGAAGGCCATAGTTTCCCCACCCCTGTTACTATCAGAGTAATGAATAAGATCTATACATTTTTTGGACAAGGCTAGTGTGGAAATTAGTTTTGCTGACTATACATGTTTGTTAAAAAAAAAAAAAAAGATTGATAGATTTTTGATTGATTTTTCTTTCCAAGAGACGTTGGGAGAGGTATAAGGGAAAAGACAACTGTTTTAATTGGAAAAAAAAATTTAATGAGGATGTTGGTGTGGATGGCCTCTGATCTAGCTCTAGATATATGGTCATGTGAACTGAGAAGGTGGTAACTGAGCTGGGCCTTGAAAGAAAAGAAGGAATTTAATAGGTAGAGACTTGTTGTGGGGCATAGACTATTCAGGAATAGAGTGGGGAAAAGGTCTGGGTGAACTTCCTCACTAGTAAATGATCTCTTTTTGCTAGTACTTCAAATGTGTGAAAGGGAATAATGTGCAAAGAAACTAGAAAGGCCAGTTGGAGCCAGGTTATGAAGAACCTTGAATTCCAAGCTGTAGTTTGTCCTATTTGGTAAGCCATGGAGAATAGATGAAGATGTTTGCCAAGACGGATGTGGTTAGATGTGTGCTTTGGGAAGATGACTCTGACAGCGTCGGGAAGGGATAGATTGGAGAGAGAGCAGGGAGACCAGGAAGGAACCTCTTATTGTAGTTGAGGGAATAATGAAGTACTGAAAAAGGGAAAGGAGAGAGGCAAATGTGACAGAGATTATGGAGGCAGAATCTACAGGCCTCTGTAGCTATGCAGTTGTGGGTGGTGCTGCCAGATGATAGAGAGGGAAAAAGCAGAGGTGGTTCCAGATATTCAAACCTGGTAGGCAGATGTTGTCAACAGAAATTGAGAAGTTAGGCAGAAAGCTATGTTTTGAGGGTTTGACATTCAGTTTAAAATGACAACAGGTTATCCACGTGGAGAAGTAAAAAATAATAATAATGATGATGATAGTTAATATTTATATAGCACTTAACTGTGTGCGAGGCATTATGCTAAGTGCCTTACAAATATTGTCTCATTTGGTCCTCACAACAACCCTGAGAGGTAGGTGCTATTATCCCCTTCTACAAATGAGGAAACTGAGGCAAGCAGAAGTAAAGTGATTTGTCTGGGATCATGCAGCTATTAAACGTCTTCTAAGCCTGGATTAGATTTCTGGTTATGTTTAAAATTAGTTTTTCACCTGAAACTCACTCAGTCTCATAGATTTTCTGCCAGAGAAGGGAAAACTGTGCATTTGTACATTCAAAACATGAGTCAGTATAGTGGAGTCACATTAGGAATGTGCATAATGGAGAGGTAAGGCATGAAGACCTATTGTGTACTGGCTGACAAGATGCAATTTAAACAAGGACTGAAAGTAGAGAAAGTGAATATGCAAAGTCTAATAAAAGGCAGGGCCTGGGGGAAGAATTACTTAGGCATACCTGAGTATGTTCATTCATTTAGCAATTTTTTTTAGCTCCCATTGTTGAGGTTTTTAACTTTTCTTTGTGTCATAGGCCCCTTTAGAAGTCTGGCAAAGCCTCTGGGCCTGTTCTCAGAATTTTTTTTTTTTTTGGTAAAGCAATTTGGGTTAAGTGACTTGCCCAGAGTCACACAGCTAGTAAGTATCAAGTGTCTGAGGTCACATTTGAACTCAGGTCCTCCTGACTCCAGGGCCAGTGCTCTATCCACTGCGCCACCTAGGTGCCCCTCAGAATATTTTTAAAAGCATAAATAAAATACATAAAGGAAACCAAAATATTGAAATAAAAAAGTGATTTTTCCCCCCAACTAAGTTGACAGACCACCAGAAATCTATCCATAGACTCCCATGAAGAACCCCTGACCTAGATGCCAGAAGATCAATTAATCTAATGGTTTCTCTGCCTGGAGTGCCCATATTCTGCCTACACAAATAGCATAAACATGGAACAAGTTAAATAACTACATATTACCTGAAAAGCAGTAAAGTGCTAGAGATACATATAAAATGATGTTATTACTAAGTATCATGTGAGTGGTATTTGGCAGGGAGTGTTACAACACTCCCATGAACGACCAAGGCTTTTAATGATCAGCATTCTTACCTCGAAAACAGTGAAGTGCTGTCTACATGTATAAGGTGAGGTTATTGCTCAGTGCCACACATACTAGGGGTATCAGAGAGTCAAGTGCTATGATGTTCCTATGAGGCCTATGGTGGTCCAATGAGCAGCCCAGGACTCTGTTTTTCTAAGACTATCTGTATTAACCATCCTGGAAATAGGTTAAAATTTATCAGTGTCCACTGGGCTTTTAGTGTATGACAGGGAGAGATGATCCTCCACTTGTTTCTATATCAGACATATTAAAGGGAGGCAAGTTGGGAGCCTTATAGTGCCTTTTAACACTTCCCACACAGTATTTTATTTTAAATGAGTGCAGCCTCTCTAGAGACATGTTACTCAGTCCTGTTACTTTCACTATGACCAAGCTTCACTGGCAAACAGTTCCATTCCTTTTGGGGGAGAACATACTGTATTAATTTCTACTTCTGAATAAGCAAGACTGTTCTGGAAGGCCTTTCTTCTCATCAGTAGTGGGCTTTGCTCTCTCCCCCTGGCATTTTTTTTTTTTTTTTTTTTTTGCTTTCCATGTGGAGAGGAAAGAAGAGAGAGAAAATAAATATTAAGTGGCTACTGTGAGTCAGGTTCTGTGCTAAGCACATATGATCCTCACAAAAACCCTGGCATGCAGGTACTGTTATGATCAGCATTTTACAGTTGAGGAAACTGAAGCAGACAAAGGTTTTATATGATTTGCCCAGAGTCACACAGCTAAGTGTCTGAGGCTGGATTTGAACTCAGCTCTTCCTAATTCTAGCTTCAGTACTCCATCCTCTGTACCATCTAGCTGCCCTGGCATCTGGGAAGAGAAGAGGGCTCCATCCTAAAAAGAAAAATGTCCATTGTGGCCACTCTTCTACACACCCTCAAACCTTGATCTGGGACATGTTTTGAAGAGTTTGTCTTGGTAGCATTCACAGGACTGACTAGTATGGCATGAGGAAGTGAAAAGATTGGGATAATGGATTGAGAGGTGGAAGGGTCCTTCAAGGCCCACAATCACATAGTTTGTAATGACAAAGTTGGAATAAAGGAAAATTTCTAAGAATGGTGCCCAGTGATTATTAGAACTCCCTTTTTTGGGGTACAATTGAAAGTTTTAACAGTCAGCTTATAATCTAGTTCCTTAAATATAATTTGTGACTTTTAGATTTTTTTTTACATCAGAACTTAGTTTACTTCTCTAGGTGAGCCTTTTTCTAGGTGTTGGGGGGCGGGGCTCAGAGATAGTTTTTGCCTTTCTTTGTATCCCCAGTGCTTAGCACAGCACCTGGCACAAATGAGTGGATCACAGATCTAGTATAGCTTGATGCTGCTTTTTTTTTTTTTAATTATTTATTTATTTATTTGGCAATTAGGGTTAAGTAACTTGCCCAGGGTCACACAGCTAGTAAGTGTCAAGTGTTTGGTCTGAGGCCGGATTTGAACTCAGGTCCTCCTGACTCCAGGGCTGGTACTCTATCCACTGTACCACCTAGCTGCCCTGCAACTGCTTATTTTTTGAAGTAGTGAATCTAACTCTAAAAGGTAGCAGGGTCTCTCGTTATCTTTTTTTAAATTTTATTTATTTTTTTTAATTTTTTTTCTCCTCAGAATCAGGAACAACTGAGAGACGAAGACTCTGACTTTATACTGAATGATGGAGATCTCACTCTCACCTATGGAGACAGCACCATCACGGCGAATGGCTCCTCAGGCTCCCACACGGCCACCACGAGCCTTGAGGGCCGGAGAACCAAGAGCAGCTCAGAGGAGGCACTAGAACGAGACCTGGGAATGGGAGACCATGAAGTTTCCAGCAGAGGCACCCGCCTGGTATTTCCTTTGGAAGACAATGCATGACCCCCAAATTCCTAAAGCATAAGGGTAGGCCCATAGCCAGGATAAAGAGGGGTTACAGGCCCTCATGTTATTTGTGGTGGAGGATGCTCAGTGACCAGAACTAACACTTGTATTACCAGTGGTTTTATTGAGGTCTGAAGATCCAAACCTTAATGTGACTCCCTTCCCCACTCCCCAAAAAAAGTTAATTAAAAATGCAGATGGTGGGGTTAAATGTCTCCAAATCAAGACAAATATGAACCTATTCCCACTTTCTTACACAGTAGTACACTGAATCTTTTTTTTTAAATAGCATGCTGTAATGGTCTATTAACTCATTCATCTGCAGTCCTTGAGCTAAAGAGAGGCAAATGGGGGGAGGGGGGCTACCCCTAAAGATGATTCAGGTTGCTAATTTATATCAGGTTTTTCTTGGGCTGCAAAGTGGGAGGTAGGGGAAAACAGGATCTAGGTGGAAGGAAGTAGAGCATGGACCTCCAAGTGATGGGAAAACCAGTGTTTGTTTCACGTGTAAAGAAACAGTATAAAATGGCAGCTCCAGAGCCTGGGGTTATACAAACATCTTATTCTGGGATTCATGACTTTGAAAGCCCGCTATATTTCATCATGAGAAAAGAATGAAAAGGAGGCATAGTTTCTCTGGATGCTTTCATGAAAAAGATGTTTAGTGTTCCTGGAGTGTTTGAAACCAAAGGCAAAGTTAAGGCACATTGTGGGAAAGGAAGGGGAAATTGTTTTGGTTTTTGTTTTAACTAACATAGAATCAGGAGATGTTTGGAAAAGGGAAAAGACTTCCAAGCTCTTGGAAGCCCACAGCAGGCCCGACTTCTAGAATCTAATCCTGAGCTATGTTAACTGCAGGGAATATAAAGATTGACTTGGCTATTCTCTTGCTCTATAATGAATGACTTGGACATTAAGGAAGCTTAGGGGAAGAAGAGGATAAAGGACCTTCTAGTGGATAAGAGGAATTTGATTTAGGGAGAGAAAATATGGAAATGGGATGGGACAAAATAGATTTCACAGCACAAGAAGTATACTGCAATGAAAAGTTTTCTAAAGGACCATCGAATCTCTCTTAATATTTTCTGAATTGATAAATGTCTGAGATGCTTGCAACAGCATGGCTAGTTAACTGGAGGGCTGAAATTCTTAGGAACTGATACGAGGGTAGAGAAGTTTTGAAAGATGCCCTTTCTTTTATCTAAATAATACCTATACTGAGGGAGCATTGCCTGCTACAGGATTAAAAGACTTTATCATCTTGGTCATCTTCACACCACTTAGTGTCATGGTAAGAAAAAAAAGAGGGCAGTACTCTTGGTACCTAAGGAGACTAACATCTTATTGTGTGAATGGTTGTTGTTTTTTCTTTTTTTTCTTTTTTTGGTAATAGTATGATTTTTTTCTATATGATCTCTACCACCTGTCAAAGACATCTAAAAGGACCGAAATACCAAAAGAATTCTCTGCAGGAATATAAATTTTTCTCCCATCTTTCAGCTTTCATTCTAGAATATTTAAGAATCCCGTTTATTTAAATGTACTGAGAACACATCAGGTTTTTTTTTTATTACTTGAAGTAAATTAGTTTCCCATTACACTGTAAATTATCTTTACCTGGTTTTTCATAGCGGGTACTCATAAAGTGGGGCATTCATCATAGCCCCATAGAGTTTCAGAATTAAAAATGAAACCTGAGTTTCGGAGCATTCAAAATTATTTTATAAATGTTATTTATTGTTAAGGTAGAGTCTGGACATGTAGCATTTAATGCTTAAAATAAGAAACTACCTCCTCAGTCATGTCCCTTCAATAGAAGAACATCTGGTAAGACTGTGATAGATGAACCTTCATCTCTATGCTTTTGAAAGAACCTTAATGGAATTCAAAATCGGATATTATAGCTACTTCTGTAGGCAGCCTGGACAGTCAGTAAAGTACTTGAGCTACAACACCAATAGTCACACTAAGCAGATTTCTCAGAAAATCTTTGGCAGTGCAGAGTTTCTCTTGTGGTGTCTTGCTACCCAATTAGAGCTGTCAAGCAGGACAGCAGCATGAATGGCTGTGTGTGTGCAGCTTGGTACAAAGGGCCAACACAGAATCTTTTCCCTGTAAGGCACAGTCTTACCTAAAGACAAGCCCCCTAACTAGCTTTTCTACTGTGCTAGGTTTTTGTTTTGTTGTTTTCCAAGCCTCTTACACCTCGAATTCACTGTCTATTCATTTAAATTAATATTAGAAGGAAGGAACACTCTGGCAAACAACATCCTGAGGGCAGGATGGGCCTTACTTCAAACAAACCTGCTCACACCAAGGCCTCACTGCCATTAATGGTATGGAGTTACTACTGTCTTAAATTTCTAGGAAAAGTTACTGTTAATTACAGGAAATTGCCATAGTGGGGAAAAACCTTCTGAGTTTCTGCCTTCATAATCGTGAATTCATCTGTGCCTCAAATACATATACAAAAGATCTGTGTTGTGGGTTTTTCTTCACCACAAACACTTCACTCTGAGCTACCTGAATAGGAGCAGTAAAGAATTTGTCAAAACTAGGAATCTAGTAGTTCTTGCCTTTTTCCTGTGACTTTCCCTTAATACTTATTGTGTGGCTTTGGGAATACTCATTTCTTGGGCAACTTCCATGTCTTGATCTTGAAAATAGAAAGGATAACTATGACCTAACTGCAGGTCCTGGGAAGATTTGTTTGCCTTTGACAACGAGATTTCAACCTTAGACATACCTTGTCAATGTTCCTTCAAGATGCAGTTTAGAAAGCCAGTTGTCCACAAAAAGCAGTACTAGCTGTCTTTCACTTGAGGCCAAATTGTCTTTTACCACCATTATAGAAAACCAAACCAAAATGAATAAATAATGGAACATTCGACTAAATGACCCACACAGATCTAAAAAATGAAAATCCAGAGGAGAAAGAGATTTTAAATTGCATTTCTGAGCTTCATTCTCCAATGTAGGACCACTAAGCCTATTTGTTCTAGGCTATGACGTGTCTGTCCTTCCAGGGAGCACATTAGAGACAGGTTCCTACCATTTAACAATGAAGTCTGAAGTGCTGAGCCTGCTCAAGCAGTCACATTCATCAGCAACCCAGGAGGGAAGAATTTTCATTCAGGGGATTAGAAAATGGAAAAGAAGTTCCATAAATTCCAGCTGAGAAGGGGGTGTTTGAAAATCTTGATGGAAAAGGAGCCAAGGTATGCGTGTCCCTATGTGGAGAGGGCATTATGAAGCCTACCCCCATGACCTTGATTCCTGTGTGTGGTAAAAACAAAGTTTGTTGTTGTTGCTTCAAGTGAAAGACAGCTGTGTTCTGAAAAGCTTTGCCAGCTCTGCTGTTACCAGGGCAGCATCACAGCAGCCTTCTGTTTCTGAGACATGCCAGATGCTGCCTCTAAAGATACTCACACACCTAGAAAACTCCTATCATCTTGGAATAAATACTTTAAAGGATGCTCAAGATTTCCTCCTCTTCAAACTGGCTGATCATCTCCCTCCATTTTAGTGTACATTAGGAACCAATTCTGAAACTAGGCTGATATGTTAACACCAATGGAACAGACCCATAGTGAACACAGGATTCCTGATCTCAAAGGAAGGAGGCGGCTTTCAGGAGGTGGTACACCTTGTTCTTATAAAATAAATGTCAGTAGTACCAAAATTTAGGGCATTTATCCTAATTGCCATCATCCTCACACTCACTCCCCTCCCCACTGAACAAAAAAAGCCCCAATAATGACTCCTTTGGAAGACCAAGACTTAGCTTTCTTTCTTGGAGAAGCAGTTCCTAGCATTTTGATATGAAATTGGTATATAATTGCAGTAAAGGGAATAATGGCTTCCCTAGGGTCTTCTTGAAAATAAATACAGAAAGGGTACAGGTGACTCACTCAGGCCTTGCCCTGCCTAAGCACTCACTGGACAAACAAGACAAATAAGCTTGGATGCATGATAGCCAGAGAGCATCTTGTAAGAAGAAAATGTTTCCATTAAGTTAATGGCAAAAAGCTCTTTAGCTTGGGCCTCAGACCAGTGAAATATCATCTGTCATTTGAAATAATTTTGAAAATCAGAAAAAGACAACCCCAGGTGCAAAATAAGGCATTAGAGAAATTTCTGACAAGATAAAAGATTTTCAGGAGGAAGGTTGAAAGTTCCCCCAAGTAGGGAAAAAAAAAAGGAATATTATGTTAATTATGTTCCAAGTTTTTCCCTTAATGGAAAATTAATATACTCCATCAAATGCTTACTGTGGCTAAGACCTTTGCCAAGTAAATGTTTACTACTCATGCAGCCAAGGAAGACAATCAACATAACCCAGTTAAACACAGATCAGTTTGAATTGACCAGGTTAGAGCCAAGAGAATGCTTTAAGAAGTAGCTTTTACTATCTGTTGTGAAATGTGAACCAGCCTGATTTTGGGGTCTGAGAGAGAGAGTGGAATTCAAGAACCAGGTTACTGGTTTAAAAAGGTTTGGGGTTTTTTTTTCCTCTCTCAGCCACACAGTAAATTTGACTTGTTCTCTGTCTGCCTTTTGATAATGAATCTCTTACTAAAGTAAGACAATCACACTTCATGGGTAGCCAACTAGGCTGTCAGTGAGTTTCTCTCTTGTTGAATCTGGCTCATGCCCAATTTCTCTTGCTAATGTCATGGGCAACTTTCTGATTCTGTTAATCATTAGAATCTACTGGCAAGGGGGTGACAAGTAGTGGCTTCAGTGAGAAGTAGCATTGGGCAGTGAGAGCACCACTCAAATTTTATTAGAATGACTTTCTTTAGGGACAGCTAGGTGGCTCAGTGGATAGAGCACCAGCCCTGAAGTCAGGAGGACCTGAGTTCATATATGTCCTTAGACACTCACTAGTTGTGTGGCTCTGGGCAAGTCACTTAACCCCAATTGTTTCACACAAAAAAAGACTTTCTTTGCGATCTTCTCCTCACTAACCCTCCCCCCCCCCAAAAAAGGAACCACTAACTAGAACAAAATACAAAAAAAAGTCCATTTTTTTTGGCACTGAAAACCTAAGCTTGTCTTGGACAATCAAGTGGGATCCTGCAGCCTTTGAGTAGAATTGTTGGCACTGCCTTTAGGACTTCTGGCAGTGGTGATTGATAACCTAAAAGTAAATAAACAGTTTATTCAAGTCTCAGAGACTGTAAAGGGGGGGGGAACCCCACATCAGTTGTACAAAGCTTTTTTTTTTCCATTTTAAAAACATGAAAGATTCAAATTTTATCCTGTGACAGTTGAGTTACATATAGCTTGTTGGGTTGACTTCCACAGTTATAAGCTTTGGAGGAACGTGAGAGGAATTTGTTTCCATTCTGTTAAGTGTTATTTCTCCTGAATTGAAAATGTCATTGGAATTATCTGTTCAAAATGGGGCTATGTGTCCTTACACAGTTAAAGGAATGGGAAAGAACTTGTCTTGTAGATCAACTCTCATTTTTACATTGTTGGAAGTTTCGCCATATTTAAGAAATGATTCAGTGGGAAGGTAATCAAGAAGCTACAACCTATTTAAGATGAAATAGGAAGAACATTAACTCCCTGGAATGATAAATAGTCTTTGGGGGGGGGGGGGCAGAGTTTTATTAACTAGAAGGTGGGAGAATTTTAGCCTCCAACAATAGCAAACTTAATAACCCTTTAATAGTATGTTATATTGTACCAGGAGTAAGGGCTTCAGTGTTCTGCAAAACATGACTCCCAGGCCTCCTCCACAGCTCAGCAGGAAGGCCTGCAATTAGGCACCTCAGAGTCTAACCCTTCCTGCATGGTTTACTGAACATCTCCCATTACTTCTGCTTAGACTGACTTCTCCAAAGTCCTACAAAATTATTTCCCACCCTATTTTCCCTTATCCCTTTCTTCCTTCTTGCTTTAGAAGTTTAAAAAAAATCTATGCTTTGGCTAAACCCCACAGGAACATAATCTATTATTAGAATTAATATGTTGCAGGTTACACACCAGGACTGCCCCTCTGCTTTTAACTCTTACATGTCATAAGGGAAGATGAAACGTATTCTCTGGGGCCTGATCCTAGGCTCTTTCAGTTTCACTTAAGAACTTGGGGTTTGGGGCATTTGGTTTTTTTAAACAGAGTGCAAAAAATCAGGGCAGCATTAGACATAAAAATCCTTTTTCAATGTGCCTGGTTGTGCCTTAGTGTCCAGGGAAATACTGTAAACCTGACCTCTGCCTGTGATTTCTATTCTCCTGCTTTTTAACCTAAAGCACTAATGGCACATTTGTGGTCTTGTAGCAGCCCAACTTCAACCAGCAAGTGGCACAATTAAGAGTGGTGAGCCTCAGGCAGGGTATGTAATTGATTTGAGTTGGGGCATTTTAGCTTTGCCTCCACTGTTAAGTCAGGAGTCCTAAGGTTTCTTTCAACCTCTCCATAGCTTCCATCCGGTGCTGTGTGTATGGGGCAGTACTCACTTTTACCTGATGTCATCAATCTAGAGTCTTTATGGCTGCTTTCTGAACTTATTATTTAATAGTATTTCTAATTCCTACAAATATGAGCTTGGGAGTGAAAATTACAATTCTATTAATTCTCTGATGGGCCTAGAGAATGGAAGGTAAAGAAGAGCTAGAAGAATCTTTTTTTTTTTTAAAGATCCCATTCAGACCTTAAAACAAAAAGTTTTCTTTTAAGTTACAGAATGAACATAGGGCAAGACCACACTTGCCATGGTTTTCAGATCAATATTTTTGTCCAAGTTGTGATATAAACAGCATTAATTCTGAAACCATAAAAAATTAAGTCTCCTCTTCATTTATCACCGGGAATGTCATCACCTTCAAAGGGCGGCAATCACCACTGGCAGGTTCAAGCTGGAAAATAAAGCCCTCCATATTGGAGGGCCACCGTATCCATATTGCACTATGTCACTTCCTTATTGGAAATGTAGTCTTTGCAGATGTGTCCGTTGTGTTTAACTGCTCACTATTTTTTTTCTGCTATGCAGAACTGTACAGCAGTTAGTGTCAAGTGAAGTCTCAATACCCCAGCTGTGCAAAGTATCGGCAGTGATTCTTCATCCTTCAGGACTGCACACTTTGATGTTGCAGTTTACCTGGGGGGGGGAGAGAAAAGGTGAAAGTTGATAGAGAGAAAAGAATATAGAAAGCATGTAGAAATGTACTAATGTGAGGCCTCTTCAAAAAAGACCTGTAAACCTATTTAGCCTTGGAATATTTTAACTCAATTTGTACAACACTCAAATCTAATGCTAAAAATCTATTCTGAAATAGTATCATTTTCATTTTGTGAAAATGTCATGAGAAAACATGGCCTGAAAAGCTGTGTTTGCATGTTGTGGGAGAAAGAAGGGGAAAAAGAATATTGAAAACCTCCGTCAACATTGCTGTGCTGGCTGCTGCTGCTGCCATCTGCATCTGACTAGGACTGGTTTGTTGGCTTGCATGCTCTTTGGATTTT